TTAGCCGTCAAACGAATGGGATTTGCACGATCCTATCGCCAAAAGTAGAACGGTTCGTACTTTTCGTACGTAGAATGGATCTCATAAATTTAAATTTCATTTAAAATTCATTAAATATGCAAAATTATTTGATGATTTTTCTCCTATCATTCATTTTCTATCATCGATTGAAGTGAATGCATTCTTCATCCACTCTTTGATTTTCGCATTAAATTATAATGAAATTTTCATTATTTGAATGAAGAAAAGGGTCTGCTAAATATAAACAAAGAGAGCTTCTTCGCAATAACTTCTCCATCTTCGCTCGTGAGAAATCTAATTAGTCGGAGGATTCCGAGGAGCCGGGGAATGGCGATGAAAAATGAAGGATATTTGGATGAGGGATAGAAATATTGAAAGAAAATGGTGTGCCCTAAAAAACGGGTTTTACTCGTTAAAATACAATTAAAGTTACGAAGGGATCTTGCAGTTACAGCATCTGATTTATGGGAATACCGGTGGATAATGGATTCGTTGCCTGAGTTAATAGTTTTTCCACGAGTTTTAATATATTCCTTGCGGATGTTTCTTCATCTTTTCTTCGATCCACCGACATTAAACGTCTGTATTCATTCTTCCGGATTTAACCACCCAGTGTCAGACTAGATTTCGCTCTTCTTTCGTGATAAAAAAAAAAATAATGAAAAATGTAATTTTGTCGAAAGTCATTACCAACTCGTCGGAATTAATATTGGATGCATCAATCTTCCCTCATTCCTCTCATTGCGACTGAAGTCTCACCACTCGCGACGGTATAATACTTGAAAAGAAAAATTTTAATTACAATGCAATTTTCTTTGCGGCGTTGACGCCTTTGAAATGCTGTTAAGGTTCCACTCGAATACATGAAGCAATCGTGTCCTCGAGCCTAGAGAAGTGAAGTTTCTCTCTCTTTCTCTCTCATTTCTCTCCCTTATGCTTTTGGTCGTTTTGATCCGTCAAGATTAAAGAGCCAGCGCACGCGCAACCCATCTCCACTTGGGCTCTGCATCCCCATATTCGTCATCTCGGATTTCTTTTTTTTTTTTTTTCATGTAGTCTCAGCGTGAAACTCCCGCAGGATTGCATGCACTGATATCGTATTGGGGGAGGTGGAGTGAAGGACAATTTTGTGGATTCGACGGTATTGCATTTCTTTGTTTTCCAAGTCAGCCGCAATCTTTGACGAATGACGGGAGAACGACGCAGGAACCGATCATTTCTCACTTGCAGTGTGTAATCAGGGTGTGAGAAAACTAGGGGGAATGGAAAATTTGAGTCCTCAGCAGTTGCCCATCATTCACAATTTCCAGAGATTTTTTTTTTAATACTCCAGACCTGACTCTTGATTTCCTAAATTTGTTTGTTGTGTTGACGAGTAAAAATAAATTTTTATTATTTTCACTTTGGACGGTGCGACAATTACATTAAAATTTTGCATTTTTAAATTCCTGACACATTCAACTAGTTGATTGTCAGCTGGTAGCTTCCTGAATTTCTTTTTTGATTTTTCATCTCTCGCTTACTGCAGGGTGTGTAAAATAAGGACAGAGGGAGTGAAAAATTTCAGGTCGTCAGTACGTGCCGGCCATGGACAACTTGCACAGCTATTACCCTGTAAAAAATATCTCTCCCATAGTGTTTTAGAAAAGTTGCTCTCAAGAAAATAAAAGTAGAGAGATAACCACTTCTATCGGTAGCTGGGTAAATTCCCGTCCCACCAGTTTCTTTGCCTCACTTTTCTACGATTTCCCCTGGTCGCCTCACCCTGAGAGTCCACTTACTTCCGAACGAGGCGAAAAACTTTGCTCTTTGCGATGATCGGTGGTGGAGCTTTCTCATTCGTGAGATGACGTTGAAAATTGTCACACCATATCACCACCTTTTTCGTCACAATAAATCAGTATTACTGCACCCTGTTTTACACACATGAGGCCAACATTTCGTCGTGCGATATTTTAATTTAAAATTTCAAATGGGGTTGGGGAATGAATGAATGTCACCGATATATCAGCCGTCAACAATTTTCAACCCCTCTTGAGAATGAATGTCACGTGTGCAGGGCTGCGAGTATAATCGCGCACCAGGTGTCTCGTAGATCTCTCCTAACGAAGGCTATTTCTCGTGTAGTTACACGTCTGGGGTTTTGTCAGATGTACACAGACTTTGCTCGTACTTGTTTTTTTTTTTTTTTTTTTTTTTTTTTTTTTTTTT